AGCAACAACAACTTTCAGTTAACATAATGTTAGGTTTATTCATGTATTAGCCCTTGTTTCCTTTTTATTACCCCCCCCCCCAAAAAAAAAAATCATTCCATTGTGTGGCGTGCATTTCATTTACTTGTTAGTTGATAAACGTTTGGTTGTTTTGACTTTTAGGCTATTGTGAATAATGCTTCAGTGAACATTTATTTATGTACAGATTTTGACGTGACTATCTCTCTTGGGTAGGTTTGTTGGATCATGTGGTAACTCAGTGCTTAAATTTTTGAAGAAAATTATTTTCTACAGCAGCTGAGCCATTTTACATTCTCACCAGCAGTATATGAGGGTTCCAATTTCTGCACCTTCTTACCACATTGTTAGCTTTCTGTTTTAGATTATAGCCATCCCAATGTGTACGAAGTCATAACTCATGATGGTCTTGATTTGCACAGACCTAGTCCTGGTGTGGTGCTATAGGATAAATGCTGGACTGCTAACCGAAAGGTTGGTGACTCAAACCTGCCAGCCGCTCCTCAGAAACCCTATGCAGGGTTGCTATGAGTTGGATCCGACTCAGTGGCGTATAACAACAACAACAACAACAGTGACTAATGATCACCACTCACCTGTCAGTTTGTTGTGCTATGATGGCTTGTGTGTTGCTGTGATGCTGGAAGCTGTGAGTGTATTTCAGATACAGTAGTGTCACCCATGGGGAACAGGATTCAGTGAGGCTCCCAGACTCAGGAAGGAAGATGTGACAATCTACTGAAAACATTCATCAGTGAAAGTCTTAAGAATAGCAATAGAATAGTGCCGGAAGGGGTGCCTTGTAGGTTGGAAAGCACTCAGAATATGACTGGGCAAGAGCTGCCTCTTCAAAGTTGAATTGTTTTTAATGATGAGGATGGAGTAAAGCTTCAGGATCTTAATTTGCTGATGACTCAAAAAAAAAAAGCTCCAAATTTTCATTAGCAATCAGAACATGGAGTGTATAAAGTGTAAATACCGGAAAATTGGAAGGAAATTGAAGAAAATGAAAACAAGTGATGAGAACCAAAATATAACCTTGAATATATCCTGTGTGAATTTGAGACCATCTCAAGAATAGATTTGACTAACTGAATATTAATGGAAGACTATACAGGTTGTGGGATTACATCAAGAACATCATACATAAAGAAAGCAAAAGGTCATTGAAGAGAAAGAAAAAGACGGAGATGAATGTCAGAAGAGCCTATGAAACTTGCTCTAAAATGTAGAGTAACTAAAGCAATTGGGAGAAATGAAGTGAATGAGCTGAACAGAAGATTTCAAAGGGTTCTTGAGAAGACAAAGTATTATAGTAAAATGTACAAGACTTGGAGTTAGAAAACCAAAAGGGAGGGACACACACTTATTTCTCAAGCTGAAAGAATTGAAGAAAAAACTAAAATCTTGATTTACAATATTGAAAGATTCTATGAGCTATATATTGAACATTTAGGAAACATCAAAATAAGATGGAAGGATATACAGAGTCACTATGTCAAAAAGAACTTGTCAGTGTTCAGCCATTTTTGGAAGTAGCATCTGATTAAGAACTAATGTTATTAAAAGAAGAAGCCCAAGCTGCACTGAAGGGATTGGTGAAAAACATGGCGCCAGGAATCAGTGGAATATCAATGGAAATGTTTCAACAAATGATGGAGTGCTGGAGGTACTTACTTCCTCGTCAAGAAATTTGGAAGACAGCAACCTGCCCAATCAACTGAATGATAGTCATATTTTTGCCCATTCTAAAGAGAGGTTACCCAACAGAATATGAAAATTACCTAACAATATAATTAATATCACATGTAAGTAAAATTTTGCTGATTATAATTTTCAAATGGTTACAGTGCATCGCCAGAATTTCCAGAAATTCAAGCCAGATTCGGAAGAGAATGTAGAACAAGAGATATTATTGCTGATGTCAGATGGTTCTTGACTCAAAGCAAAGAATACTTGAGAGTTCTATAGTTGTGTTATATTGACTGTGCAAAGGAAATTACTTTGTAGATCATAACAAACTATGAGTGGCACTGCAAAGAGTGAATATCCTGTAATACTTAATTGTGTTCATGGGTAACCTGTGTATAGACCAAGAAGAGTCATTTGAAAGTAACAAAGATATATATATATATACTGACTGGTTTAAAATCAAGAAAGGTATATGCCAAAGTTATAATCTTTCTTCAGATTTACGCAGTCTGTATGCTGAACAGATATTACCTGGGAAACTGGACTTTAGAAAAAGAATGTGGAATCGGGATTGGAGGGAGACTCTTTTAACAACCTGCGACATGCAGATGACACAACCTTGTTTGCCAGAAGTGAAGAGGACTCGAAGCACATACTGATGAAGATCAAAGGCTACTACTGCATTCAGTATGGATTGAGCCTCTAAATACAGAAAACTAATTCTCACAGCTGGACCAGTAAATAATATTAGGATAAATAGAGAAAATATTGAAGTGATCAAAGACTCCATTTTGCTTGGATCCACAATCAACACTCACGGAAATAGCAGTCAAGAAATCAAACGATTTCTTACATTAGGCACGTTTGCTGCAGAAAACCTCTTTAAAGTGTTAAAAAGCAAAGATGTGGGTTTGAGGACTAAGGTGCATATGGCCTAAGCCATAGTATTTTCAGTCAACTCATATGCATGTGAAAGTTAGACAGTGAAAAGGAATACAGAAAAAGAATTGATGCCTCTGAATTATGATGTTGGTGATGAACGTGAAATGTATCATAATGGCCAGAAGAGCAACCAAACCTGTGAAGGAAGAAGTACAGTCAGAGTGCTCCTCAGAAGGAAGGATGGTGAGATTTCATCCCAGCTACTTTGGACATGCTGTCGGAAGGAACCAGTCCCTTGTTTGGTAGAGTGTCAGTGAACAGGAGGAAGACCCTCATGGAGGTGTTTTGACACAGTGGCTGCCAATGGCCTCAACCATAGCAAGATGGTGAGGACTGGGTGATGTTTTGTGCCATTGTACGTAGGGTCTCAGTGGATCGGTGATGACTCAAGGATACCTAACAACAATATATAAAATACTATATCCTCAATAAAAACTCAATATACTGATTGAAAGGGCTGACTTAATACACAGGGAAAGCAATGGAAGTTAATGTACCAAATGTTAACTGTTTGAATTGATATACTCAAATCACAATTTAAAGAAATTTTTTTAAACTATACTTTTTCTGTTATAATATTATTTAGTGTGAGGTACAGTCAGTTTAGACACACAGTAACCCTATACAGGTTTCCAAGAGCTGCTGCTGGGTTTGAACCATTGATCCTTTATTCTTGTTTCCTCTAAGTTTACCATAGTAATAATGTAATTTTTCAGATGTTATGCTTTTCTTTACTTTGAAGTCATGAGAGATTGGTGAAAATGGAAGTCCAGTATAGTTATAGGAAGAACTGTGTAGGGAGTCATAAATTCAGTCATTCTCTGAAAATTCTCAAGCTGCTCATTATGCTTGTACTTTGAAAAACAACATGATAGTTTAAATGTGTCATGAGAAGAAAATCGCTTGCATAGTTTAGATACACAGAGCATATTGGTATCTGATCCTGTGGCAACATGAAACTTAACACAGCTGAGTGGTTCCAGATAGACTGTATGTTTCCTGCCCGTAATAGCCAATGTAAATAATATACCCACCCACATCACATGTGATATTAATGCACTTATGAAAATAGCTTGGGGAGGGTAAGAGATGTGCAGATGTCAGAAAAGGTATAATATGGGTGCTATCGGTGTAGGAATTCAGTAAAAAGAAATAAGTAGAGACCTCTTGACTCTTAAAGAGCCCTCGTGGCCCAGTGGTTGCAGTGTTCTCTGCAGGAGGAAACAATGTGTCAGTGTGCTTCTGCAAAGATGTACAGCCTTGAAAATCCTACAGATGCCGTTCTGTGCTGTAGGGTTGTTAAATTGGAATAGGCTTAACTGCAGCTGCTTTGGTCTGGTCTTGGCCTTTCTTTTGCAGTTCTCTCTTGGTGCAGTTTACTCACATGGTTACCAACCAAAAAGTTGCTTGCTTGAATCCATCCAGAGGTGCATTGTGAAAAGCCCTGGTGATTTATTTCTGAAAAACTAGTCATTGAAAGAAACGCTGTGTAGCACAGTTCTCCCTATAGAGCCAATCTGATAAAGAGTCACCATGAGGAATAAAATACTGATACATGCTGCGCTGAATAGCTAGTTACTTGTCCATGCAAATATTATACTAGGTGAAAGAAGCCTGACATAGAAACATCGCAAGATTTCATGTATCTGAGCTGTCTAGGCACATATATGGAATCCTATGTGGCACTCACTGTAGGGTAAGTTACGGACTGCTAACCACAAGATCGGTGGTTCAAATCCACCAGCCACTCCTCAGTAACTAGAAGTGTCACTGTAAGTTACAACTGACGGCACTTAACAACAACAAGGCATATATATAAACAAATCTATAGAGACAGAACGGAGTCCTGGTGTGGCGCTGTGGGTTAATGCACCAGACTGCAATGCCGTTTGAACTGAAAGGTTGGTGGTTCAAGCTCACCAGCTGCTCCTTGGAAACCCTATACAGGGTCACTATGGGTTGGAACCGACTTGACAGCACTTAACAACAACAATATAGAGACAGAAAATATTACTGGAAGCCAGGGGATGAGGTAGGGGAGATTTGGGAACAACTTGCTGGCTTTGGGTTTGGTGTTTGGTTTTGGCCAACAGGTATGGGATTTCTTTTTGGAGTGATGGAAATGTTTAGAAATTAGATAGGAGAGATAGTTGCATAGCATTGTGAATAGACTGAAAAAAAGTCACTGAATTAGACACTTAAAGATGGTGAACCTTATGTCTTACCAATTCTATCTTCATGAAGAAGATTTTGATCCCATATTTATGTTCTTTGTTAAATAATAGATTAAAACAAAACAAAACAAAAACAAAAGAGCCCTGTGTTCATGACATATTTTTTCCTCGTAGCATCCTGGGGGAGAGGAAGTTCTGCTGGAACAAGCTGGTGCAGATGCAAGTGAAAGTTTTGAAGATGTAGGCCACTCCTCTGATGCCAGAGAAATGCTAAAGCAGTACTATGTTGGTGATGTTCATCCGGTAAGAATCAACACAGCCACAGGTCTGGACAGGGGACCAGGGATTGAGTTGTTATCGTGGAAAACCCATTCAGGTTAAATAGCCTCCAAAGTTTCTACTCTCACTATGCTAAGCTACAGCTTCTGATTTGCAAAGTGGCATATGTAATGTCTTTGAAAAGGGAATAAGGGAATTGATTTTGGATTATCATGAATAATTAATTTTTGTAATATAGTTAATGACATCTCTTTCAAAAATAGTGGTTTAGTTGATCTTGTAAGTTTCTTGTTAATAAGGAAACTACCGCTTGGAGCAAAAGCTTTTAAAACCATGCATGCACACACACATTATTCCAACAATGTGTTCAGAGTGGGGATCCACACCTTTCTATAGACTCTAAAGCCTCCCAGGGAATTGGTTAGTAAGTAGTTTCATACCCCAGAACTAGAAACATGCATATAGTGAGAATTCATTTGGAAATGTCTTAAAATACTTTTTTTTTTTTTCTTTTCTTTTTAACAGTGTGATCTTAAAACTGAAAATAGTGGCAAGGTAAGAAGTCTCCAGTTTCTTATATGTTTCAAGTACTTACATTTCTGTTCATTCAACTAGAATTGATTTTACAGGAGAAATTGTAAATTATTTCATAAGAGAAGTACTTAACTATTTCCCCCCACCCCCAAGCAAAAATCCTGTTTTTGAAGAATTGGACTCAGTACCATCTCAGGAGGAAAGAATAGCTGAGTCTTGAACAGTAGGAAATATTTCCTTAATGCTAAGAAAAAAAAAGTGGAAGACCCCTAACAACAGTCCATGGTTTTAAAAGAAAAGAGTTTATGGGTTGAGTTGTAGAAAAATGTCTCTTAAGAGTTCATAGAGTATGTGATGGAGAAAGATTTGGAAAATTACTTTTCTCTTACAAATTATTTTCCTTTTCTTGAATTCTAGAGGACTTGTGGAATGAAGTAACTGACAAGGACAGGCTTGTTTTTCCTTACCGCCCTTTGAATTAGCTCATAGGTTAACCCTTCACATTTACCTGATCATAGAGTAAACACAAAAGATGAAGTGTTTGAAAACATTAATATGCATTTGCATTATTTATCAGAAAGATAATATGAAGACCAGTCTATTCCCCACCAGCTAGGTGTTTCATTTCCCTTACTCCCTTATAATTTTCCTTGACTTCAGATAGCTGTTACTGTATCGTATCTTTTAAAAGGGCAGAAGCTGTAGTGCTTTCTAGAATACCATGTAAGTGATAAACCGTCCACTTTTCCTTCTTCTGGCTTCTTGCTTCTCTTTCTTAATGAGCCAGCATCACTGAACAGATTTGATACAACAATTAAAGTTGACCTAGACACGGGAATTTTTTTCAACTCATGAGAGTACTTGACATTGTTTGCCATCTATTGCCCTGTAATCCAGAGTGTTTGCATAAATTAACTCTTATGCTTGCTACACTGAACAGTTGAATGACTTACAAAAGTGGGTGAAGTGCTTTGTAAACTCTATTAGTTTGTTTGCCCTCTTCTCCTGATACATGTACTACTCATTCATGAGTCTTCAGTTCTGTAAAATTTGAATAAACCGTGGCCTTGTTTAGTGTATTGATCATACCCAGGAAACACCACTCTCAGAGTTAGTTTCACATTTGATCCAAGGGGTATTTCCATCTTGTGCTAAGACATAAACCACTTCTGCCCACAATTATGAGATAAGCCTTTATATTAAAACATTCTTGCAATTATAATGTCTAGAAGTCTACAAATTTCTTCTTGCTTGTCATCATTGGTGGTACAGTAGGTGGTTAAGATCATTCTTAGGAATGAAGAGCAGTGTTTGTCAAATTCTGTTCCTTATACCATCTTTGTTAAAATCTCTTTGTCTGTTTTTTTAAACTTATTTTTCCTAAACTTCCACTCATACTAATTCAGAATCTGCTGAAGGTGGGACTTACGAGTTTGCCTTTTAAGAAACCTATATAGCCAAGCCCTAAATTTTTCAAGTACTAATCAGATAATGAAATGTCATTTGAAAACGTAGAGAATTGTGATTCTTTTCTTTCGCAAGCACTGTCTGCCTAATGTAAGCCAAAGAAGTAGAACTGTTTCAGGCAGATTAAAACTGTTGAGCCTTGGACTTTCTGTAAGAAACATAGAAAAAGAAACCCTTTTAGCTTGCCAAATTCAGTAGTAATTGAGTCTCCAAAGGTAGGTTAACCCATGCCTAGGTTAAACAGTGACTAACGGTAACGCTTTCATTGTGTCTAAACCACATGTCTTCATTAAGTAGAGTCTGGCTATTATGTGTTAAGAATCAAACTGCTGTACTTAAGGCAGTTCAGGCAAAGAAAGTTTTTTGGAAATTTTTCAAGACCACCTACGTAGGTTGTCAGAGAGCTGTATTCCAACCTGATTTTTGTTCCTTGAAGGAATTCTTGATTCATCAGATTTATTTCTTACAGTAGTTGACAGTAAGCCCTTCTGTGCCCAAGATGTTGCTATCTCATGTTCTTTTTTTCTGTGACTGTTTTAAACAAATACTCAGTATCAAGAAATGGCGGTCAAGTTCACTTCATTAGTGGTTTTCTTTTCTCGTTGTAAGGGTGTGTGAACCTCTGTGAAGCAGTCACTTTTAAGCCTGATTAAGATGAGCCGTTTACCTTATGGGACACCGTTTTCATTTCCTTTCTGCTCTCCCTTCTACTTCTTTCCAACTCTCTATCTCCTCCACGTCTGAACCTCCCTGCCTCCCCCGCAAAAGCCACAAAAGTGCTATTCCAGAGTGTATATAAATCAGGAATTGTTTCTAATTTTTAAAAACCACTTTTCATATTGTAACCATTTACCTGTGTTCATGTACAACACAGGTAAATAATGGATGATCCTGTTTGTTTTGTTAGATTGATAATATAGAATTTTAAAACTTTTGTCTCTGTAAATCTCTTCCTGACTGGATTCGTTCCCAAGCTGAGAGCCATCATCAGTCTTTTACATGTATTTGACTTAACATTGCTTGGACTGCATTTGGTGATGAAAACTCACCTTGAGAAGATAAAGTACATACAAATCCTAATCATATTTTAAAAGTGGTTATCAATTCATTCACTTATTCAACTGAAATTATCTGAGTAACAGGTTAACTTCTTCACTAGTCAAATCTCATTACAGTGAGTAGACCCAATAACTTGAATTTTTGTTTTCTTTACAAATGTATTGAGAACTATACCTATGGATGCAATAGCTCAAAAGAGGTAACAAATCTTTACAGTGAGGATCATTCCCACCCTCTGAATACACAGGGTAGACAGGAATGGGCAGCTTGGACATTGGCTACCCAAAATGGTGGGTAGATGTGATCAGGAGGTAGGCTTCCCTTTTCACTCTTCTTCCTGAGAAATTTCAAGATGTCACTGTTGGTTGTTGTGACATAACCCAGGATTTAATTATTAGCCTGTTTCCTTTTTAGTCTGCCTGATTGGGTCCACAGCCCCATTCAGGCCTTTTCCCCAGCAATAAATAGTTCAGGGCCGGCTGTGGCTGTTTTGCACTGCCGTTTTTTTTTTTTTTTTTTGTTGTTGTTGTTGTTGTTTTTAATTGTTTTATTGTGAATTATGTGATAGTTTATATGGGCAAACATTCGCTTTACTTTCATCCTATTGTATATTGTTTC